GAAGAAAAATTTCGAAACTCATAAAGTTGAGCCAATTTACCTTTGATTTCTTGAAACTTTTATGGATGGAAGTGTAAATTCGTGGATGAATGTTGGAATATAATTAATCTTCAAAGCCCATCGAAATTTGGAGAAAAATTGGATGATGTTGATGAAAAATTTGAAAAACGAAAATTTGAAGATGAAAAACAAAAACTAACAATTTCATAATTATATCTGGCAATTGTCATTCATAGCTTCCGAGAAAGAAGGGATCCAAAGTATTCCCTGGGCTTTGAGCACTCACGAGAAAAAGAGTTTTCGGCCGTTGCCCGTCTATTTGTAATCCTGTGTGCAGATGAGCGTCACCGGCAAAGTGTTTGAGGAGGGAGGAAATGCAGTTTGGGCTTTGATTTTAACAATTGGGCGTAATTAATACTTCATTAAAATGTTTAATTAAAGTTTAAGGGTATTAATCAAAACACCTATAAAAAAAGAGTACCGGACATAATATTCCCAACAACAAATCCAACTTACATGGGCCAACCTCAAAGTGTATTGGTTGTTTCTGGGTCTAGTCAGTATTATGGTGTCAATAAATTATCTGACATCTGTTTTAAATTATCGTTCGGATTTATTGGGTATTCACTTCTTTAGATGAACATATTTTATTATAAGGGTAATTAGCACAAAATATCAACACATTTCACTGTTATTGTGGAAAACGTCCACACCTTTATTTTTTTTTAGCATTTCCACCATTATTTTCACATTTCATTGCGCAAAATGTCATTTTCATTAATTTTCTCAATTAAAAATTATGAAATAACGAAAATATCCTTTCCTTTAAATCAAACAAAAGAAAAAGAAAAAACTAGTTGCAAACATATTTTCAACTTTTTTGAAAAGCGCAAATGAATCGCAAATAAATTATTAAAAGGGTAATTAGCACATAATGTCCATACCTTTCACTATTATTGCGAAAAAATCCATACCTTTTATTTTTTGGGGCATTTTCTCCCTAATTATAATTTGATAGCATAAATCATCATTTATATCAATTTTCATCCAATTTTTCAATAAAGAACTGCGAAATAATGAATATACCCTCATATTTAAATAAAAAATATTTTTTTAATTTCTAATTCTTTAATAATTTATTTGGTACGCATTTGCACTTTTTAATTTTTTTATTTTTAAATAAATTTAATTGGGAATCGTTTGCACTTTTTAAAAAAAATTGGGACAATGATTGCAATGAATTCTTTAGCTTTTTTATTTAAATATGAGGGTATATTTGTCATCCCACTATTTTTTATTGAGAAATTGGATGAATGTGGATAGAAATGATGGTTTACGCTATCAAA